GAGCGACGTGATTGGCTGCGCGTTGGATCTCACTGTGCCCATAATCACCTTCACCTTCAACGGAGCACCCATCATGGGATCTTTCCGCAACTTCAATCTAGACGGGATGTTCTTCCCCGCGATTAGCTGCTCCTCCAAACTGTCTTGCAGATTTCTCCTAGGCGGTGATCACGGCCGCCTAAAGTTTCAACCGCCGGAGGAATTCTCCCCGTTGGTGGAAAGTCTGTTACCTCAGCAAATCCTATCCTTGGATCCCTGCTTCTACTTCGGCAACATGAACAAAGTGGTCCTAGCTGGCCCCTGGCTGGTCGAAGACGACACCGCCTTCGTCCCAGCTCCAGTCGACACGTCCATGATCAACCTGCCGTCTTACGTCGAGCAAATCAGGGACAAGTTGGCCGAGAACATTCACGAGATGTGGGCAATGAACAAGATCGAGGCTGGTTGGATATACGGCGAGCACAGAGACGATATGAGGAAGATTCACCCCTGCATCGTTCAGTTCGAACGGCTACCAGCCGCGGAGAAACGTTACGATACTCAGCTAGCAGTGCAGACCCTGAAGACCATCTTAGCACTGGGATATTACATCACGATGGACAAGCCACCCTCTAGAATAAAGACACTGAGACTTTCCAACGATCCGTTCCTCCAGAGTAGCGGATACAAACCAGCGCCACTAGATCTCGGCGCCATCACGCTCACGCCTAAGATGGAGGAGCTAGTAGACCAGCTCGCGGAGAATACTCACAACTTGTGGGCGAAGGAGAGGATCAGCCAGGGTTGGACCTATGGTCTGAACGAGGATTCCGAGATGAGGAGGAGCCCACACTTGGTACCCTACCCGAAGGTCGACGAAGCGATCAAGAAAGCTAATCGTGACACCGCTAGCGAGACAGTGAGGACGCTCTTGGTCTACGGGTACATGCTGGAGCCACCTACCGGGGAACAGCACGAAGGTGAATTGTATCGAAATGTCGTGAAATTTGCATCTATTTCCGAGTACTCCCAGTACCGTCTCTTTATCTAATCGTTTCTCTTCTTTTTCTAGCGTTGCTGTTGGAGGCCAGCAGGTTGCGACAGTCGTCCTTCAGGACCTATCGCGTGGAGAAACACTATGCGGTCAGCAGTGGGAAATGGTACTTCGAATTCGAAGTGCTGACGGCTGGTCCGATGAGAGTGGGTTGGGCAAAGGCCGACTGCATGCCTGGCAGCATGTTGGGCAGCGACGAGAACACCTGGGCTTTCGACGGCTACAACGTAAGTGTTCCTTGGTCCATTGTCATCTCACAAGTACGTAACGTCGAATTGTAATTGTACGAATTGAAAGACACTGAACTCGCGTAAACGAAATAGAAAGAATAGAATCACGAACGAGCTTTGCACGACGAGTTATCCATTGCAGACAGATTTGTTCGAATAGTTTTACGATCGACAATGTGTCCACGGTAAGATAGAGCTTTGTAAAATTAATTATAAAGGCATCGCAAGCTGAGAGGTGATAAATAATTGATACCAATCGTGAATGTCAGGTAACTAAAGTACACGCCGGTACCCACGAGTCATTTGGTCACAAATATCAAGTGGGCGACATAGTTGGATGTTTCATTGACGTCGCGGACCGAACGATCAGTAAGAGTGCAATTTTTCGTAATAATTCGATCTGCAGGTCCACCATTTTTTGAGTTTTCTCGTCACTACTGTTGTCTTTGTCTCTATATGTTCTTTTTTCATGTTGACTTGGTTGTTTTTTCTGCGTTTCCTTGTCCGAAGATCGAACGAAATTGATGGGGATTTCGTTCGAGAAGTGTGGCTTGCCGTTTTTTAGCGACCGCGAGGGAATCCGTGGAGAACGTTAACTGTACAGTATTATCGATCAAGTGTACATCATTTGTTGTGTCTATTCTCACCTCTGTCCGTACCACAATCTCGCGCCCGCTCGCGCATCCACACGCACACACATACACACGTACACGCGTATAGTAGCCGGATAAACTCTGCGAAGTATCGTTGTTAGTTGTGTTAATCGTAAGGTAGATGTATCATGGTTCGCGTACGAATCATGAACGGAGATTTTGAATTGGTGAAATTTTATTTTAAAGGAGGAAAAAGTATACTCGGGCACAGCCGAGACATTTGGCAAACAATGGCAGGTTGGAGACGTTGTCGGGGTTTTCCTGGATCTAATTGACAGAACGATTAGTAAGACGGAATCTTTCAAGCGAACGCTTCAGCTGCCATTCTAAGCTATACACACGTATAATTTGATTCAAGAGATAGATTACTGGATACTAAAAACATACCGTCAAACGTACAACAGAGCTCCGTAGTTGAAAGGAAACAGTCGATATCGATAACTCGTCACTGTCGCGTTCCTTTTTTCCTTTTCTTTCGCTTAATTTCGATATTGATAACCACCCGGTGTTTTGCACGGTTCGGATGAGCGCCGTTTTTGACAAGTTACGCGATACTCGTTTTTCTAGCCCGTTGGTTTACCTCGTCGCATCATCACGACAACGCATTCATGTATATTAAATTCTCATTCCTTCTCGATCAACCTGTACACTCCCATCATACACGATCAATTAGCATCATGTGTGTTCTTGTATTCTTTTCGTATCCAGTATTCTACTCGGCCAATGTTGTAAATAACAGCAACAACGCTTTCATATTTCATACGATTCATCTTTGCTAACCACTAATACCAGAAGGGTGCCCCAAATTTCGATGAATAAAATTACGTGGAATAGGCTCGAGGAGGATGCCCCTCGAAAGACTACCGTCGCGTTGGATTCAAAGCTATATTATTTTCTTTGTTTATACCTTACGATACCTTCTTGAACCAAACCAATATAAAGTACCTTTCCCATCTCTTCGTTGATACTTTTGTACGACATTTATTTTTCTATTTTCTCAAACTAATTGCCCCGATAGTAGTGCCGAGTCTTTATGTTTTAATATTTCATGTAAACCACCCCTATGTGCATGCGTAACACTTTTATCTGGAAATTCTATGAGAAATTCGCGCTTGCTTTGCGTAGTTGTACATAGTTGCATTTTATCTACGTGTTTTATGTTCATAGCTGCCACTAATCGATTACGAAACGCTTCGTTCAATTTTCAAGCCGCTAGTCGCAATAACATTATCTTTACCCTTTTTACTCGAAAATAATTGTTGTCGTGTTGAAAATATCTCTTGCTAGTAGTAATTCCGTTCCAATTTGCGCGACCAACGACTATGGCAAACCCTCTTCATGCAAATACTCTATTGCCCAGGCTTTTCTCTGAACGGAGAACTGCTGATGGACGCGCTCGGGGGTGAAACGTCTTTCGCCGACGTACAGGGTGACTGTTTCGTGCCAGCCTTCACGCTCGGGGTCGGACAGAAAGCGAAACTGACGTTCGGACAAGACGTGAACACCCTGAAATTCTTTACCACCTGCGGTCTGCAAGAGGGCTACGAACCCTTCTGCGTGTAAGCGATACGAATAAAAATACCGAATAAGAAATAAATAAAAATTCGTCTGGTACCGGTCTAAAATTCCCAAAATTTGCGAAATAAACAGGAACATGAATCGACCGGTTACATACTGGTACACCAAGGACCAGCCGATCTTCGAGAACACAGACGACATGGCTGACACGAGGATAGACGTGGCCAGGATACCAGCGGGTTCGGATACGCCGCCATGTTTGAAGATCTCGCACAACACGTTCGAGACAATGGAGAAGGCGAACTGGGAGTTTCTGCGATTGTCTTTGCCAGTTATTTGTCAATCGACCTTTATCTCGGAGAGCGAGAAGCTGAGAAGGTGGCAAGAGATCAAGATGCGTCAGAATAAATTACTGTCCGAGCAGGTGGAGCAAGCCCAACAAGCCGCGCCTTCTGCTCATATGGAGCAAATCATGAAGTCTGGTTTCAGCATGAGCGACATCAAAGGTACCATATTTCGCACATACTTCTAATCTTTGAATTTCGAATTTTGGTGTTCTCTAAAGAAGATCTTGTTCGTTTCAGGGTTACAAAGGAACTATTCCGAGGATGCTGTGGAAGCTGACGAGATGATGAAAGAGTCGCCGACCCCTATGCAGAGGAACAAGCCAGCTAGACCTCCGAGGAAGGGTTCCCTGTATGGATCTCGCGGTGGCAACATGGACAATGCGATCAGCGAGGTCGACATGAATGGCTACGGTGATATGAACGGCGACATCAAAGACGATAAGAAGAAACGCGGGCGTTCTCCGTTCCGGTTAGTATAGTCGAAATATTGTCAAGTAATCGATAGTTCTTGGGGTAAATGGATTTTGATACCTTCGCATTCCCAGCAAACTTAGCAAAGAGATGGAGGATGCACCGTAAGTTCGATTAAAACATTTCACCCGATTTCCACACTTGATACTTCTCCCCGAATATTTATATATTTCTTTTTACATATCTCTTTTTAAATACAAGACAACAGGCGAAGGAATAAAACGAACCTCTGATCTGTTTCACAGATTCTTCTCCCGCAAGGCGAAGTCTCCGGATGCGAAGTCGAAAACGCCTGAGCCCCCAGTGCGTTCCGACGTCTCTGACAAAAGCACTAAAACACTAGCCATGAACAAAGCAAGTAGCCGGCCTCCCCAAATTCGCATATCAAACGTAAAACCATTTATTTATTTATTTATTTGTTTGTCGATTTTGTCCAACCGCTTCGCAATCCAGGCCTACTTTTCGAACGTGAAATTAACGAAGAATTTCCTACACAGACTGACTTGAAAGTGGTACCGCCTCAGATTCCGGAACGCAACGCGCCCAAAGCTATGTCTGTGCTGAGCGGAAGCGGCGTCGAGGCGATAGGGAACGAGATATACGATGCAGAATGCTTGAAACTGATGAACGAATACTTCTACGGGGTACGAATCTTCCCTGGACAGGACCCAACGCACGTTTACGTAGGCTGGGTCACCTCTCAGTACCATTTGCACACCAAGGACTTCAATCTGTCTCGCGTGAGAAAGGGGTCCGTGGTTATCACGGATGACTACGACCGTCCTATAGAGCAGTGAGTTTAGCTTCTGTCCTTCGTCGATTCAGAATCTTCCAATTGTTAATAAACTCGCTTATCGTAGAGTCGACAGACAGAGCTGCTACATGGTAAGAGCAGACGAGCTGTACAACGAAGTGACGCAAGACGCGTCGGGCAAGGGAGCCTCTCAAGGAATGTTCGTCGGGTGTTTCGTGGACACGGCGACAGGTTGGGTGTCCTTCACCTGCGAGGGGAAAGAAACTAGCCACAAATTCAAGATGGAACCGGATACGAAATTGTTCCCTGCCATCTTCGTGGAGGCTACTAGCAAGGAGATCCTTCAGATCGAACTCGGGAGGACCTCCACGACGCTGCCGCTATCCGCTGCTGTTTTACAGAACTCGGAACGTCACGTGATACCACAGTTCCCGCCTAGGTTGAAGGTCCAGTGCCTGAAGCCTCACCAATGGGCCAGAGTCCCCAATCAGTCGCTTCAGGTGCACGCCTTGAAGCTGTCCGACATCAGAGGTTGGTCCATGCTGTGCGAGGACGCCATATCTATGCTGGCTCTGCATATTCCTGAAGAAGACAGGTGTATCGATATCTTGGAGCTCATCGAAATGGACAAACTACTCAGGTAAAATTTGAGAACACAGTGGCATTCCCTCTGTTCATTTCGCGAATTAACACTGGACCCCTTCGACCTTTGCAGTTTCCATGCACATACTCTGACATTGTACGCAGCCCTGTGCTACCAATCGAACTACAGAGCGGCACATGCTCTGTGTCAGCACGTCGATCAGAAACAATTACTGTACGCGATTCGAGCGGAATACATGTCCGGGCCCCTACGACAAGGATTCTACGACTTGCTGATCGCTTTGCACCTCGAGTCACACGCGACTACGATGGAGGTGTGCAAGAACGAGTACATTATTCCTTTAGGTAAGTTTCCTTTGAGTCGTACTCTTTAAGATGAACATCGACACATGTCTAAGTATATCCGCCTCGCAGGCCAAGAACTGAAGGAGTTATACGAAAACGAAGAAATGAGGCACAGCCTCAGGTACCTGGAGACCGAGTCGGTTCGTCCTCAGATGAAGATGACAGATATTAGGTAAGTATTCTCAAACCCCAAGCTAGATGTGAAGCCCATGACTAATTGTCGACATCAAGGGAAATTCCTTCTAGCGACCAAACGATCGAGAACATACGGAGCCTCTACAGTCCACACTTCCCTCTGGACGTGGTGCGGGATTACGTGATGACGGCTTTGAACGAGGCCGTCGAGGTCAATCAAGTGCACAATCGAGACCCCATTGGCGGCAGCAATGAGAATCTTTTCTTGTATGTAGACCCAAAAAATACGTGCACGGCTGGGCTATCTGCATGTTTAGCGTCTTCGTCAACGATATGCAGGAGAAGAGTGCTTTCAGGATAACGCGCTTATTGCTGCAGGCTCTCGTCGGATCCGTCCTTATCCCTTTTATTTATATAATTCTTCTATATTTCAGGCCACTTTTAAAACTCGTAGACAGGTTGCTCTTGGTGGGGATGCTTCGGAACGAGGACGTTATGAAGCTTCTGATCATGATACACCCTGAGACTTGGGATCCAACGTTCGATAAAGGTAAAGATTCGCATGGCTTTGTTCTCGAAATGCCGAGTATAAACGATAAACGAATTGCAGAAGGGAAAGACGAACACAAAAAGGGATTGCTTCATATGAAGATGGCCGAGGGAGCAAAATTGCAGATGTGCTATCTTCTTCATCACTTGAACGACATCCAGCTGCGACATCGCGTCGAGTCCATCATCGCTTTCAGCCACGACTTCGTCGGTGACCTCCAGTCCGATCAGCTTCGACGTTACATCGAGATCAAACAGTCTGACCTACCATCTGCGGTAGCAGCGAAGAAGACCAGAGAGTTCAGGTGTCCTCCTCGCGAACAAATGAACGCCATCTTAAGTTTCAAGAATATGGAATCGGTAGATGATCCTGAAAATGTTCCTTGCGGAGAAGACTTGATAAATAGAATGAACGAGTTCCACAACAATCTCATGTCCTACGTGTCCTTGCACGCCCTTGAAGAAGCAGCAGACGCTGTGGAGGAACTGGCAGAGGACATTCAGAAACCTGGCGCCATTAAAAGACTGTTCAATTTCATCAACACGGTGAAGGAATTAGAAGAGGAACCTAAACCCGAAGCAGAACCCGAGAGGAAGACTCCGGAAGGTTAGAATCGCGTTATATTATCGATTATCTTTAGCCATTATATTTTTATATTAAACTCTCTCTTCTTGATACTCCTCACAGAAGTATTCCGCAAAGTCCTCATAAAGACTATCGTCAGCTGGGCCGAGGAATCTCAAATCGAGACGCCAAAGTTGGTTCGCGAGATGTTCAGCTTACTGGTTCGTCAGTACGACACCGTGGGCGAACTGATCAGAGCTCTAGAGAAGACCTACGTGATCAACAGCAAGACAAGAGACGACGTTGCGTTGATGTGGATCGGTCTGAGCCAGATCCGTGCCCTGCTGCCTGTGCAGATGTCGCAAGAGGAAGAAGAGCTCGTTAGAGAACGTCTCTGGAAATTAGTAAACAATCACACGTTCTTCCAGCATCCAGATCTGATCAGAGTACTAAGAATCCACGAGAACGTGATGGCAATCATGATGAACACGCTGGGCAGACGAGCACAGGCGCAGTCCGACGCTCAAACTCAGCCGCAAACCACCGAAGGGGAGCCAGCCTCTAAAGAGAAGGACACCTCTCACGAAATGGTGGTAGCGTGTTGTAGATTCCTGTGTTACTTCTGCCGTACATCCAGGCAGAATCAGAAGGCTATGTTCGATCACTTCGACTTTCTATTGGAAAACAGTAACATCTTGCTATCGAGGCCATCGTTGAGGGGCTCGACGCCATTGGACGTGGCTTATTCCTCTCTCATGGAAAACACTGAGCTCGCTCTGGCTCTGAGAGAACACTACCTCGAGAAGATCGCTATCTACTTGTCCCGTTGCGGATTGCAGTCGAATTCGGAATTAGTCGAGAAAGGTTATCCGGACCTGGGATGGGACCCAGTGGAAGGCGAACGATACTTGGACTTCTTGAGATTCTGCGTCTGGGTTAACGGTACGGATGAAAGCCTTGGAATTTATTCCGAGTCAAGCTTATCCCGATCGCGAATAGACGATTCGATTCCGTTTCAGGCGAGAGCGTCGAGGAGAACGCAAACTTGGTGATCCGTTTGCTGATCAGGAGACCAGAGTGCTTGGGACCTGCGCTTCGTGGCGAGGGCGAGGGTCTACTGAGAGCCATCATAGACGCCAATAAGATGTCTGAACGCATCGCTGATCGACGGAAAGTTCACGACGAGGCAGAGGGCACATCTGTCATGCAGTTCGAGCATCCTCTTCCGGAATCCGACGAGGACGAAGACTATATCGACACAGGAGCGGCTATCCTGAACTTTTACTGCACCTTGGTGGATCTGCTAGGCCGCTGCGCTCCGGATTCTTCTGTTATCGAACAAGGTAAGTGAAAGTGGAAACCCCTGTTCCCTGGATTACGCTATCACGCAGCACCTTTGTAAGTATCGCTACTCGACGACTACGCACTCTTCATTATCTAAATTTTTAGAGAATTCGCGAGTTTAGTTTCATTTCCTAATTACACAGCCTCATCCACCTCGTGTTCCTTCATCCGTTGTAACCCTCAGTATTATTTATCTAATGACACTGTTTATTTTTTGACGAGCAACAGAGGCTTCTACAGAATCCGTCGGTAATATATAAGAAATCAAACTTTTCTGTCCTTTATTGATCGCGTTCTGTGAAATGGATCACGATAAGGGACCATTTTCCAGGGAAGAACGAGTCTCTTCGAGCGAGGGCCATCCTTCGATCTCTGGTGCCTCTAGATGATCTGCAAGGTGTCTTGTCTTTGAGATTCACCTTACTGAACCCGGCAGCCGGCGAAGAGAAGCCGAAGAGCGATATGCCGTCTGGATTGATCCCTGGACATAAGCAGAGCGTTGTTCTGTTCTTGGAACGCGTTTACGGCATCGAAACTCAGGAGCTGTTCTTTAAGATACTCGAGGAAGCTTTTCTACCTGATCTCAGGGCTGCTACTATGCTGGACAGGGTAACGTGCATTACAGACTCGATATAAAGATGCAAACTGGAATTCTGATTTTTTAATTTTTTAAGTTTTTAATTTTTTAATTTTTTAATTTTTTAATTTCGACCATTGCCTCAGAACGACGGGTACGAGTCGGACATGGCGCTGGCGATGAATCGTTACATCGGCAACAGCATCCTACCTCTGTTGATCAAGCATTCCAAGTTCTACAACGAGGCGGATAATTACGCCAGCTTACTAGACGCCACGTTGCACACCGTTTATCGGTTAAGCAAAAATAGAATGCTGACGAAGGGTCAACGTGAAGCCGTGTCGGACTTTCTCGTCGCACTGACCAGGTAAACACCGTATTCTCCGGAATGCAATTGAAATTATTAACGGAATCGTTTTGTTGCTTAACAAGAGACGTCCACGTGTTAAATGTCTCGTAAGTTCTAACAACATTATTTTAAATCGCTAATTCCCGCCTACGATTATAATCACAATATTACGCTATGAGGGTAACAGCGCTTCTAGTATTCACTGTCCCCGATATTTCTCATTTATTTAAAACGTCTCTCATCTATTTCTCTTTTTAGCCAAATGCAACCTAGCATGCTGCTGAAACTGCTTCGGAAGTTGTCTCTTTCCCGATTTATCGAACACGGAAATTAAATAAATAAAAAAATTTTTCGTAATCAAAAATGTTCAAAATTTAGCTGTTAACTCTGCACTATGAACGCTGCGCGAAATATTACGGTTCAACTGGTGGACAAGGTGCATACGGTGCATCCAGCGACGAGGAGAAACGTCTGACTATGGTGCTCTTCAGCAACATATTCGATTCGTTATCCAAGATGGATTACGACCCAGAACTGTTTGGAAAAGCTCTGCCGTGTCTCACGGCCATTGGTTGCGCTTTACCACCAGATTATTCGTTATCTAAGAATTACGACGACGAATGGTACGGTAGTAAATCCGCATCCGCACAGTCGCCTGACGGGCCCTATAATCCTCAGCCAATCAACACCTCTAGGTACCCTTACATCTTTATTCGTAGTCACCTGATTCTGATAGACAGGAATGAAAAATGAACGCGAGATTAATATCGGTTTAATGTTCGACAGCGTGGTTCTCAATAATGACCTGAATCAGATAGTGCAAAAGTTCTCCGAGCACTATCACGACGCTTGGGCCAGTCGGAAGCTGGAGAATGGCTGGACTTACGGCGAGCAATGGTCTGACGCGAACAAGACTCATCCCAGATTGAAGCCTTATAATATGTTGAATGACTACGAGAGAGAAAGGTATAAGGAACCGGTTAGGGAGAGCTTGAAAGCTTTGCTAGCTATAGGGTGGAGCGTTGAACACGCAGAAGTGGATGTACCCTCTACCAATCGAAGTTCCATGAGAAGATCATCGAAAAGTCAAGTAAGACAAAGTTCTATTTACATATTTTAATTTGTACGATGAACGATGTAATCTGTCAACACGTCATGCTACTAATGTCGATAATTGTATCGTTTCAGGGTGATTCGGCAAATCCGTTTAATTACAATCCTCATCCAGTCGACATGACCAACCTGACACTGAGTAGAGAAATGCAAAACATGGCTGAACGACTGGCAGACAATGCGCACGATATCTGGGCGAAAAAGAAGAAGGAAGAACTCATCACTTGTGGTTCGTGTGAATGAAAAATTAAATAAATTGTTCACTCTAAAAATCAAGATCAAATCTTCGATTCTAAATATTTATGTCGTCGATAGGAGGTGGTATTCATCCTCAACTGGTCCCGTATGACCTCCTGACCGACAAAGAGAAGCGAAAGGATCGCGAACGTTCTCAGGAATTCCTTAAATACTTGCAGTACCAAGGTTACAAGCTCCACAAGCCTAATCGAGGAGGAGAAGCGGAAGTTGCTACGGCTGGAGCCTCGGTAGAGTTGAGATTCGCCTATTCGTTGCTAGAGAAGCTGATAGCCTATTTGGACAAGGCCACCATCAACATGAAACTGCTGAAACCGTCCGACACGTTTAGCCGAAGGAACAGCTTTAAAACATCCACGAGGGACATCAAGTTCTTCAGCAAAGTGGTCCTTCCGCTCATGGAAAAATACTTTAGTACTCACAAGAACTACTTCATCGCTGTGGCCACGGCTACGAACAACATTGGAGCAGCGTCCTTGAAGGAGAAGGAAATGGTGGCGGCTCTGTTCTGCAAATTGGCTAGCTTGTTGAGATCTAGATTGGCTGCGTTCGGACCAGACGTGAGGATCACTGTTCGCTGCCTCCAGGTGTTAGTCAAGGGCATAGATGCGAAGAGCTTGGTGAAGAACTGTCCAGAGTTCATCAGGACCTCCATGTTGACCTTCTTCAACAACACAGCAGACGATCTAGGTCATACCATTCTGAACCTGCAAGAGGGCAAATACAGTCACCTGAGAGGGACACATTTGAAGACTTCTACGTCCTTGTCGTACATCAACAGCGTAGTTCTACCGGTGCTCACAGCAATGTTTGACCATCTAGCTGCTTGCGAATACGGCAGTGACTTGCTCTGTAAGTACAGAATTTTTTAGCAACATATATCCAAGTTCTTCGACAGATAGGTATAATTTAATTCGCATACTTTTCTCCGAACAGTGGACGAAATTCAGGTAGCATCGTATAAAATGCTGGCATCCCTGTACACTCTTGGCGTGGACGCCTCCTTGACACACGACAGGAAATACTTGAAGACGGAAATCGAGCGCCACAAGCCGAACTTGGGTTCTTGTCTAGGTGCCTTCTCCAGCTGTTTCCCAGTCGCTTTCCTAGAACCCCATTTAAATAAGCACAATCCATTCTCGCTCCTGAATCGTATCGCTGACCATTCCTTGGAGGCACAGGACATCATGTCGAAGATGGAATCGAGCATGCCTACCCTGGAAACGATCCTGTCAGAGGTCGATCAGTTCGTCGAGTCTGAGAAAACGTACAACGATCTTCCTCACGTGGTTGACGTTATTCTTCCTTTGCTTTGCTCCTACCTGCCCTTCTGGTGGGCCCAGGGTCCTGACAACGTAAACCCGACCGAAGGAACCTACGTCAGCATGGTTACCAGCGACCACATGAACCAACTGTTGAAGAACGTGTTGAAACTGATCAAGAAGAACATCGGTAACGAGAACGCTCCCTGGATGACTCGCATCGCTGCTTACACCCAGCAGATCATCATCAACTCGTCGGAGGAGCTGTTGAAGGACCCGTTTCTGCCTCTCGTAGAACGTGTCAGGAAACGTACGGACACTATGTTCCATAAGGAGGAATCTCTTCGTGGTTTTATTAAATCGTCCACCGATGACACCTCGCAAGTCGAGGCACAGATTCAAGAAGATTGGCAACTTCTGGTCCGCGACATCTACTCGTTCTATCCCCTCTTGATCAAATACGTCGACCTGCAAAGAAATCATTGGTTGAGAAACAATATTCCAGAAGCAGAGGACCTCTACAATCACGTGGCAGCGATATTCAACATTTGGTCCAAGTCTCAGTACTTCCTACGCGAGGAACAGAATTTCATTTCAGCTAACGAGATCGACAACATGGTGCTCATCATGCCAACAGCGACTAGGAGACCTACTGCCATTTCAGACGGCACTGCGCCTTCCGGAGGAGGCAAGGTTAGTATCCTAATGCCAGAAAATTGAGAGTTCTATCGACATAATTCTGTAATCCACGAAACGACTTGACCCACAGAAAAAGAAGAAGCATCGTGACAAGAAGAGGGACAAAGACAAGGAGGTGCAGGCTTCTCTGATGGTAGCCTGTTTGAAGAGGTTGCTCCCAGTTGGTCTGAACCTGTTTGCTGGTCGTGAGCAGGAATTGGTGCAACACTGCAAAGACAGGTTCCTGAAGAAGATGCCGGAATACGAAATCGCGGAATTCGCGAAGACCCAATTGACATTGCCAGACAAGATCGACCCAGCTGACGAAATGTCATGGCAGCACTATCTGTACTCCAAGTTGGGTCAAAAGAAGGATTCCATGGAACCAGTGAAGGCACAGCAATTGGAGGACGTGGTTGCGAGGATCACTGATATGGCAAAAGTCCTTTACGGTCTACATATGGTAAGTTAAAACCATTTCGTAGCTGTTGTTGCCTGGGGTACTCTGTGATCGTTATTCCTCAGAGAGTCGAAGCTTCGTTGGCGGATTTGTTCGATTCATTTAGTAATTTTGTGTTCTCGAGTAGATAGATCATCCGCAACAGCAGAGCAAGGGTCAATATCGATCCGTGGTGTCGATACAACGTAAACGAGCTGTGATCGCTTGTTTCCGTCAAACTTCCCTACATTCCCTGCCCAGGTATCCTCTTTTCGTTTGATTCGCGTTACTCGTGTATCGTGATGTTTGCGTTTATTTCTTGTCCCTAACAAAAGTAACCAACGACGATGCGAGAATAATCCATAATCCGTTTGATCACCATTTGGTTTGCATAAACTTGACGTTTGTTTCGATTTGAGCTTCGAATATACCGTAATACCTTTAGCCAGTTTGCACCGAGTAAACCAGTGACCATTACCCTCGGTTACTTTGGTACTGCCCAAAGCTTGGCTAACCAGTAAGAGTAGCGAAAATTAATATAAATTTTCGACGATGTCTACCGTAATTATATATCAGTGTTCTAACAACTATAGTTGTGTGTGCATGCTGCTAAAAGGCAACGAAACCTCCACCATCTCGGGATGGCTGGAAGCGTGTGTTGTGCGCGGCAAGAAAGAGAGCAGCGATTGCATGTCTACGTAGCGAGCCACTTTACAAGCTGCGAAGGTAAAATGGCCGTTTGACGCTGCTTCGAATTTCGAGAAACGATAATTATCTCGTACCTTATTTCAGGCATCGGGCTATAAATATTTTCGCGCGGACGTATTACGAGCTCTGGTTGCAGGATGAGAATGTTGGCCAAGAAGTGATGATTGAAGACCTTACGGTACATATAGGCTTTGAAAAGGAATATTTTATTCCACGTTCATCGTCTCACCTATCGATGCAAACTCATTTTCTCTTTCTTCTTTTTAAAGCAATCTTTCGAGGACGCAGAATTGAAGAAGATGGACAAAGACGAGGACGAGGGAAAACCAGATCCGCTCACACAGCTGGTAACAACGTTCTGTCGTGGCGCTATGACGGAACGGTCCGGAGCTCTCCAGGAAGATCCTTTGTATATGAGTTACGCGCAGATCATATCGAAATCTTGCGGCGAAGAAGAAGAGGAAGGCGAAGACGAAGGCGGAGGAGGCGAAGAAGAAGGTGGCGCCTCGATCCACGTGAGTATTTGCTGAAACGTTTGTCGAAACGTTAAAAGAGACAAATTTTTACTAACGAAAGTCTATGAAATATATGAAATATTGTTCTGTGAACAAAAGAAATATGGAAGATAACCTAAGTGTCTGAAACTTATTAACAATTTCGTATGTTTTTCTCGCGTACTGACCCTGTAGGCGCATAAGCCACTTATGGTAAGAACAAGTAGTCGTTTGCGGAATTCAACTGCTTCTATACGTACGCTCGTTCGTTTTAACTTGGAAATCCGATGTTCCCATTGTCAAATGCAAATCGATCAATTACCCAAGATATCGTTCATCGTAGGACATAGTTAACCCGATCAGATAAAATATATATCTGTTCCCATTCGAGCATACCTACATGTCGAATTTGTACATACGCTTGCATCAAAGGTGACCAGTTCCCCTGATCACTCTGTACAAAGTCAATTTCGTTTCCGCAATGTCCATTGTATTCCAATAATTCTCGTTTCATCTAATATTGCCATTATTCTTCGCAATAACAAATTCTCTGGTGCTTTCTTTAATGCTCCACCTAAAGCGACCGATGCACAAACTCATGGTAAGATACTGAGTCTAGATGAATGAAAATCTCTCGAATTTTTAAACGTTCTCTGCGTTAAACTGCGCTTTCCATTGTTGACCTTTTAGGAACAAGAGATGGAGAAGCAGAAGCTTCTTTTCCACCAAGCACGACTCGCGAATCGTGGCGTGGCAGAGATGGTACTGCTGCACATCTCGGCCTGCAAAGGCCTACCTAGCGAGATGGTGATGAAGACCTTGGAATTGGGTATCTCCATTCTACGCGGCGGTAACATAGAGATCCAACGAGGAATGTTGAACCACTTGAAGGAAAAGAAGGACGTGGGTTTCTTCACCTCGATCGCTGGTCTCATGAATTCCTGCAGCGTTTTGGACCTGGATGCGTTCGAGAGGAACACGAAAGCAGAAGGACTCGGAGTTGGTTCCGAGGGGGCAGCTGGAGAGAAGAACATGCACGACGCAGAGTTCACGTGTGCTCTGTTTCGATTCATTCAACTGACCTGCGAGGGTCACAATCTCGGTATGTCTCGTACATCTTCTGATCTAGAATGACAGGAATGAAGGAACGCGATGTAACCCGCGCTATCGTTAGATTGGCAGAACTACCTGAGAACTCAAGCCGGTAACACGACGACGGTGAACGTGGTCATTTGCACCGTCGATTATCTGCTACGACTCCAAGAATCTATCATGGACTTCTACTGGCACTACTCCAGCAAGGAACTCATCGACCCAGCTGGCAAGGCTAACTTCTTCAAAGCTATCGGTGTTGCCAGTCAAGTTTTCAACACCCTCACCGAGGTGATCCAAGGTCCTTGCGCTCAGAATCAACAAGCTTTGGCACACTCTCGATTGTGGGATGCCGTTGGTGGATTCCTTTTCCTCTTCTCTCATATGCAAGACAAGCTATCCAAACACTCGAGTCAAGTGGATCTTTTGAAGGAGTTGCTGAACCTGCAAAAGGACATGATCACTATGATGCTCTCCATGCTGGAAGGTACGACTCGGGGAATAATTATACTCGAAATAACACATTGCGACGAATCTTTCACGATTTTTGTTATCCCAGGTAACGTGGTGAATGGAACAATTGGAAAACAGATGGTGGACACGCTGGTGGAGTCTGCGGGCAATGTCGAATTGATTCTGAAATACTTCGACATGTTCCTAAAACTCAAGGACCTCGTTTCGTCGCCTAGCTTTCTGGAGGTGGACCTTAACAACGATGGCTGGGTGTATCCGAAGGATTTCAAAGAGAAAATGGAACAACAGAAGAGCTATACCGAGTAAGTATCGCAACTCCTGTTTACACACCAGAGCTAATAACGTGAACGATAATGGGAATGAAATTATTGCAGCGAGGAAATCGAATTTTTGTTGGCCTGTTGCGAGACGAATCACGACGGCAAAATCGACTACGTGGCTTTCATGGACCGTTTCCACGAGCCAGCCAAAGAAATCGGTTTCAATCTTGCGGTTCTGTTAACCAATCTATCGGAACACATGCCAAACGAGCCCAGGCTGGCAAGGTTCCTCGAAACGGCAGGCTCTGTGTTGAACTATTTCGAACCGTACCTCGGCAGGATCGAAATCCTCGGCGGAAACAAGAAGATCGAGCGTGTGTACTTCGAGATCAAGGAGTCGAATATCGAGCAATGGGAGAAACCGCAGATCAAAGAGTCGAAGAGGACGTACTTCTACAACACCGTGGTGGAAGCCGGGGAGAAAGAGAAGCTAGAGACCTTCATCAACTTCTGCGAGGACGCCATTTTTGAAATGCAACACGCCAGCGCACTGATGGCAGTGGAAGAGAGCGGTGGAATCGGGAAAGCGAGAGAATCTTCTTACACCTACATGACAGACGACGACGAGGAAAGGAACAAGGATCCCATCAGAAGAGGCATTCAGACCTTCAAAGACGGCATTTACTTCTTCTTCTCCATCTTCTCTCCCAGCAACATTAAAAACAAGATCGCCGAGATGCAACAGATGACGTTCTTGGAACTCTTCATAGGCTTCTTCAAAATGATCTTCTACGCGTTCTACTATTCTGGCTTTGGCTTTGGCTGTATTCTTGGGTACTTCATGAGGTTACTATTGGCATTGATGAAAGGTCCGCACGTGGAAGAACCTGTAGTGGTGAAGGAAGAGGAGGAGAAGCCGTCGAGACATTTGCCGGCCTTGCCGCCGACACCGGATGAATCTAACCTACAGGTTTGCTGAAGCCCGAAAGCATGGAAAACAACGACAGTGTGAGGAATTAATCCGCTTCCAATTTGACACAGGTGCAGGCGTTCGGAATGGACATAACGAAGGAAGAAGGTGGACAGATAAAGATAGCACCGCACGAATCGGCGACGTCTACTCCTCAATCGAGCATCGAAGAAACGGGTGAGAGCACACCGGAAGAAGCCACTGGCGAAGAGGGTGCCAGAGCCGATGCGGGTGGAGACATGGAGTCACCTGTCTCCTTGGCTGACTTGCTAGGGTACTGTCGAATACGTATTACTTTTACTTAATATTACATCGATCACGCGCATCAAGCGAATTATACCTATAAATGTAGGGATCGGTTTGGGTGGATTGGCTAAAATAGCGTTCTTTTACTTCTTAATAAAATAGAATAAGCTTATACGTAGACTGACGGCTATGAAACAAGGGAGACTCGCTATGGGTACGTTCGACTTGGACTTCTTACTCACATACTGACACTAGCTTAAGAACTCTTAAAGACTGAAGACTGTTAAAGACTGTAGACTGTTCATGACCGACGACTGTAAACTGTTCATGACCGACGACTGTGAAGACTCTAGCTGTCCATGCCCTTGCACTCTTATTTAAAATATTCATTCTGTATTTTTTCATATTCGCAGATCAAAGAGTCGAAGAGGACGTACTTCTACAACACCGTGGTGGAAGCCGGGGAGAAAGAGAAGCTAGAGACCTTCATCAACTTCTGCGAGGACGCCATTTTTGAAATGCAACACGCCAGCGCACTGATGGCAGTGGAAGAGAGCGGTGGAATCGGGAAAGCGAGAGAATCTTCTTACACCTACATGACAGACGACGACGAGGAAAGGAACAAGGATCCCATCAGAAGAGGCATTCAGACCTTCAAAGACGGCATTTACTTCTTCTTCTCCATCTTCTCTCCCAGCAACATTAAAAACAAGATCGCCGAGATGCAACAGATGACGTTCTTGGAACTCTTCATAGGCTTCTTCAAAATGATCTTCTACGCGTTCTACTATTCTGGCTTTGGCTTTGGCTGTATTCTTGGGTACTTCATGAGGTTACTATTGGCATTGATGAAAGGTCCGCACGTGGAAGAACCTGTAGTGGTGAAGGAAGAGGAGGAGAAGCCGTCGAGACATTTGCCGGCCTTGCCGCCGACACCGGATGAATCTAACCTACAGGTTTGCTGAAGCCCGAAAGCATGGAAAACAACGACAGTGTGAGGAATTAATCCGCTTCCAATTTGACACAGGTGCAGGCGTTCGGAATGGACATAACGAAGGAAGAAGGTGGACAGATAAAGATAGCACCGCACGAATCGGCGACGTCTACTCCTCAATCGAGCATCGAAGAAACGGGTGAGAGCACACCGGAAGAAGCCACTGGCGAAGAGGGTGCCAGAGCCGATGCGGGTGGAGACATGGAGTCACCTGTCTCCTTGGCTGACTTGCTAGGGTACTGTCGAATACGTATTACTTTTACTTAATATTACATCGATCACGCGCATCAAGCGAATTATACCTATAAATGTAGGGATCGGTTTGGGTGGATTGGCTAAAATAGCGTTCTTTTACTTCTTAATAAAATAGAATAAGCTTATACGTAGACTGACGGCTATGAAACAAGGGAGACTCGCTATGGGTACGTTCGACTTGGACTTCTTACTCACATACTGACACTAGCTTAAGAACTCTTAAAGACTGAAGACTGTTAAAGACTGTAGACTGTTCATGACCGACGACTGTAAACTGTTCATGACCGACGACTGTGAAGACTCTAGCTGTCCATGCCCTTGCACTCTTATTTAAAATATTCATTCTGTATTTTTTCATATCCAGGCTTTCCTTTCCAATCATGCCCCTTTCTCACGCAACCTCCGTGGGCCAGGTACTTCAATCACTCTGGACGCATCCCTAAACTTTCGCTCGACCCTACCATAAACATTCTTTGCAGTTAATTCGCTTGCACGTGGTCGCTTTCATCCTAGGCCCAAACACACTTTGCATTCTTTCAGGGCCATACTTATTCCAATCCCATATAAATATTTATGTCTAACAGAGGCGAACAGGCCAGAGCCCAGGCTGCAGCCGCAGCAGAGGCAGCCGCCGCTCAACAAGCAGCCATGGCCGCCGTCGAAGCGGAGGCGAAGCAGGAAACGATAGCAGAACCATCGACATCCACTATAGACTTTTCCGAATACACCCATCGCATCGTCTCCTTCTTAGCTAGGAACTTTTATAATCTGAAATACGTGGCTCTAGTTCTCGCTTTCTGCATCAATTTCATGTTGCTGTTCTACAAGGTGAGCTTCTCAAGATTTTTAAAACGTCGAAGATCTGCCTATCGTTCTTTCCTGTCACCCTGACAGAAGATACATATTTTTTGGCGACTCGAAATGTTATTAACTAAGAAAAGATTGGAATCAAGACGTACGTCATACATTTACAGGTTACATCTTTGCAAAACGAAGGGGACAAGGAAGGAAGTGGCCAGATAGCCGACATGTTAGCAGAAATGTCTGGCGAAGGTGTATCCGGTTCCGGACAGGGCAGTGGGTTAGAAATAGGAAGCGGAAGTGGAGAGAACGAGTCGGAAGAAGAGGAAGATGCCTACGCCCTGGAATACGTGGAGGTTGCAGAGGATTTCTATTACATGGCACACGTTATACGACTCATGGCTATTCTTCATGCGATCGTCTCTCTTGCTATGCTGGTTGCCTATTACCACCTGAAGGTACGATTACCGACATCTAGTAGTCGCGCACAGAGCTCTTGAAAGTACGTATCTATTTGCATATCTACTAAAATGTAAACGCATACTCTAGGTACCATTGGCTATCTTCAAACGAGAAAAGGAAATTGCCAGACGCGTGGAATTCGATGGTCTGTATATCGCTGAGACGCCAGAAGAGGATGACATCAAGGCACACTGGGATAAAATGGTGATATCAGCGAAAACGTTCCCGGTGAACTATTGGGACAAGTTCGTGAAGAAGAAAGTCCGACAGAAATACAGCGAGACCTACGACTTCGATTACATCAGCAACCTGCTTGGCATGGAGAAGACGTCGTTCAGTCAACAGGAAGAGGAAGGTTCCGGTTTGATCCACTTGTGAGTAAAATTACACGATGCCTATGATACATGCTAATTTTTCCATCACGATTTCTACCAAATTTCGATCTCTTCAGCATCGTAAACATCGACTGGAGGTACCAAGTTTGGAAAGCCGGAGTGACCATTACGGATAACGTAAGCAGCGCATCGAAATCAGTGAAATTTCGTGGATTCGAGTATACTAAATCGTGACGTTCGTTTACAGGCATTTTTGTACAGTCTGTGGTATTTCACATTTTCTATCCTTGGCAATTACAACAACTTCTTCTTCGCTGCTCACCTGCTGGACGTCGCGGTTGGCTTCAAAACTCTGAGGACCATCTTGCAATCTGTAACACACAACGGCAAACAATTAGTGTTAACAGTGATGTTGTTAACCATCGTCGTCTATATATATACGGTTATAGCTTTCAACTTCTTCAGGAAATTCTATATTCAGGAAGAGGACGACGAAGTGGACAAGAAATGTCACGACATGTTAACGGTGAGATATAGAAGAACGTTTTCCTATGTCTGCTTTGAACGAGGATTGAACTCTACCGAAATCTGTGTTTCAGTGTTTCGTATTCCATCTTTACAAAGGTGTCAGAGCTGGCGGAGGAATCGGTGACGAAATCGGTGAACCTGATGGCGACGACTACGAGGTCTACCGTATCATGTTCGACATTACCTTCTTCTTCTTCGTCATTGTCATTCTATTGGCCATCATTCAAGGTAAGTCGAAGATTCATATCCTGATACATCAAATGCAGAAGAATCGTCACTAGCTATATAACATCATTATTATCGTTTCGTTTCATCTTAGGTTTGATCATCGATGCGTTCGGTGAACTTCGAGACCAGCTCGAGAACGTTAAAACGAACATGGAGAGCAATTGTTTCATCTGTGGCTTAGGAAAAGAGTATTTCGACACGGTACCTCATGGTTTCGATACTCACGTTCAACAGGAACACAATCTAGCTAATTACATGTGAGCCAATTGTACAAAATTTCTATATCCTTTACAAGGAATGGTGAAATGACTGATGGCTGTAATATGAATTTTCCTAGGTTCTTCCTCATGCACTTAATCAACAAACCAGACACCGAGTACACCGGTCAAGAAACGTACGTGTGGAACATGTATCAGCAAAGGTGTTGGGACTTTTTCCCAGTCGGTGACTGCTTCCGGAAGCAGAACGAGGCGGTAGAGGAAGAGGCAAAGAAGAAGTAAAGGAATTTTATGAAATTTATGTCGTTTTACGTATAACTGAATGACCAATCGATCGATTTAGCGAGGGAAATCTCCTTTCCTGAAAAGTCTTCGATAATCGTAGTCTCTAATTTCTACACGCAAGGAAAGATGGCGCGTCGAGACTACTCGACAACAACAGACGTCGATAACGTACGATTTCAATTTTTAGAATATACTCTCGCTCGTTCGTCGATAGATAAACTAGAACGTTGAATGCGTGTGTACCTTTTACATTCGACATCTATCGTTATTCCAAGTTTTACGCGGACCCTTCGACACGCGACTAGGGGTGTATTAATTAGAAATTTGCGCGAGTTGCACGCGTACGGGATCGAGACCTGGCTTTCGATCGCGCGTGAACGAGCGAAACAAGCTGGGAGACTGGTGAAATATTTTTCCAACTTATTTTTCCAACTTTATAAGGGTGGCTGGATATCGTATAATCAACAGTTTCCTCCTTAGATAGATAATTTACGATGTGTTGTTGATCATCGACAAGGGAACCGACTGCACAAATCTACATTATCATTAACGTTACGATTGCCTTCTTTTCATACGTCGAGTGATCACATTTTGTGCATAATGATTTAACTCATTCACGTAATGTTTGAGATATTACAAGAGTATTACGTAAGTTGAAGATGTTTAAAAGTTTATATCAAACGCGAAGGTTTCCACGATTACGTGGCAACTTTTCCAAAAAGTTATTGACGACTGAAATCGCGATATAATCAAATATGTCAATATGTTGTAAATAAGGATCTACGACAAGATTACCTGAGAATAAAGAAAGACATACTCCTTTATCTAGTATTTTATCCATCATTTACTGCCTTCATCTGTGTTCAAAAGTATTGGTTCCTCTACAAAAAAATATCCAATCCCGTTAAGGAAAAATTCCCTCTACGCTGATATATAGGATAAACCCAATCAAAAAGCCTAATTTCGGAAATAGAAGACAAAAAGTCTATTACAGAACCTGATTTCACACCTACGGACACTTTCGGCACTATTTCCCGAAAACACACGCTCAAAACCGAAAAAAAATATCAAATCCAATTAACGAAGGGTGCACTCTACGCTAATAAATAAAATAAGCCGGAATCAAAAGAATAATTTTGAAGATAGAAACCAAAAACGTGAACTGCGCAGCACGATCTGACAGCCACTGACACATTCGGCATTATTTCCCGAAAACACACGCTCAAAACCGAAAAAAAATATCCAATCCCATTAAGGAAGGGTTCACTCTACGCGGATAAATAAAAACATCCGGAGTCAAGAGCTTAATTTTGAAGATGGAAATAAAAAAAGTAAACTGCGCAGCACGATCTGACAGCCACTGACACATTCGGCACTATTTCCCGAAAACGCGTGCTCGAAACGCAAAAAAAATATCCAATTCTATTAAGGAAGGGTTCACTCTACGCGGATAAATAAAAAAATCCGGAGTCAAAAGCCTAATTTTGAAGATGGAAATAAAAAAAGTAAACTGCGCAGCACGATCTGACAGCCACTGACACATTCGGCACTATTTCCCGAAAACGCACTCTCGAAACGCAAAAAAAATATCCAATCCCATTAAGGAAGAGTTCACTCCACGCGGAAAAATAAAAAAATCCGGAGTCAAAAGCCTAATTTTGAAGATGGAAACCAAAAAAGTAAACTGCGCAGCACGATTTGACAGCCACTGACACATTCGGCACTATTTCCCGAAAACACGCGCTCGAAACGCAAAAAAAATATCCAAATCGATTAAGGAAAGGTTCACTCTACGCGGAAAAGTAAAAAAATCCGGAGTCAAAAGCCTAATTTTGAAGATGGAAATAAAAAAAGTAAACTGCGCAGCACGATCTGACAGCCACTGACACATTCGGCACTATTTCCCGAAAACGCACTCTCGAAACGCAAAAAAAATATCCAATCCCATTAAGGAAGAGTTCACTCCACGCGGAAAAATAAAAAAATCCGGAGTCAAAAGCCTAATTTTGAAGATGGAAACCAAAAAAGTAAACTGCGCAGCACGATTTGACAGCCACTGACACATTCGGCACTATTTCCCGAAAACACGCGCTCGAAACGCAAAAAAAATATCCAATCCCATTAAGGAAGAATTCACTCTACACGGAAAAATAAAAAAATCCGTAGTCACAAGCCTAATTTTGAAGATGGAAATAAAAAAAGTGAACTGCGCAGCACGATCTGACAGGCACTGACACATTCGGCTCTATTTCCCGAAAACGCACGCTCGAAACGCAAAAAAAATATCCAATCCCATTAAGGAATGGTTCACTCTACGCGGAAAAATAAAAAAATCCGGAGTCACAAGCCTAATTTTGAAGATAGAAATAAAAAAAGTGAACTGCGCAGCACGATTTGACAGCCGCTGACACATTCGGCACTATTTTAGAAAAACGCACACACGAAACCGAAGAAAAATATCCAATCCCGTTAAGGAATAAATCACTCTACGCGAATCAGTAGAAAAATCCGATTCAAAAAGCCTAATTCAAAAGATATAAGCCAAATAAGTAAATTGCGTCACACTATCTGTCAGCCACTGACACATTCGGCACTATTTTAGAAAAACGCACACACGAAACTGAAAAAAAATATCCAATCCCGTTAAGGAATAAATCACTCTACGCGAATCAGTAGAAAAATCCGATTCAAAAAGCCTAATTCAAAAGATAGAAGCCAAAAAAGTAAATTGCGCAGCACGATCTGAGAGCCACTGACACTTCCGGCACTATTTCTCGAAAACGCACGCTTGAAACGCAAAAAAAATATCCAATCCCGTTAAGGTAGAATTCACTCTACGCTGATAAATAAAAAAAACCGGAGCCAAAAGCCTAGTTATGGAGAAAGAAACCAAAAAAGTAAATTGCGCTGCACGATCGGGCAGGTACATATACTTTCGCCACTAAATTTCGGAAAGAATTGTCGAAATCGGAAAAATATCGGTAGACTAGTGAGAGAAAAATCTCTTCAGCGTTGTTATAGGAAAGGAATCTAATCGAAAAGCATAATTTCATAAATATAAGCGAGAAAAGTAAACACTGTAGCACAATTGTACAGGCACTTGCTTCTCCGTCACTTTATTTCATATATGCACCTTCAATCGGAAAATAATTGCCCTATTGGTTGGAAAACAATCTATTCTATGCAGGAATAATGAAATATCCTAATCCACAATAGAAGTTTAGAATGTATAAGTGATAATACGTAGCTGCTTTGCAATTGAACGTCAAGATTGAAGAAAAATTGGAAAAATTACGGTTAACAAGCTGCCTATTCAGAGTAAAAGTATTCAAATATATTACTGGACATTCAAAGGCTAGAATCTAGTACAGCCGATAATAACGGACAATGCGGTAGTGTTATAGGATCCCGCACTCACACCACTTCATTTCCCACACGTACCGTTGTACGATTTACACTACGTAACATCACCTTTTTGCACATATAGCCTGTTACCACCGAAGAAATGTTCACAGTTACTAATGTTGAACTTCGTAAATTTTTCACAATTTTTTAAACTCCTGCTGTGTTCTGTTCGTAAATATTAGAATAATGCTGCAAACGTAACCTGCACCTGCATTATCGCGAACTAATACCGGACACGTCGCGTTATTGTCCATAAACATATATTTCCTCAGTTGTAGCAATTAGAACAACAATCGCCGGTATCACTACTTCATGAAACGTTTTAAGGAAATCTTTAATATTTTCTTTTCACGCGCGAGAATGTTCCACCATTTGTTACCGGTATACCCGCTTTGCCGCCAACTGGAAGTTGGTTGTAACCGGTATTTTTGTGGCGCGAAAATGCTGCGCCTTTGAAATAGCTATGTACTGAAGTATCGATGTAGAATATCAAGCGATGTCTCTTATGATTATTAATATCAGTGAAGTAAATACAAATATGTTTCTATTACAAAAATAACAAATTAGAAAGTGCTTAATATTCATGACAAAAACGTTTAAAATTAATAAAATTAAAATTAACGTAAGAGTCTTTAGTGACAAAGTGGAATTCATATAAATAAAAAGATTTTAGTCTAATTATTCTGTAATATATTCGTATATTGTACAGTTTATAAGTATTTTAATTATAAATAAAGATCCGAATCACGTCAGACCAAATAATTAACAATACAACAAAAAATATGATAAATATAATAATGATAATGATAATGATAATGATAATGATAATGATAATGATGAAGCTGGTGATAATATTGATGATATGAAAGAAGTTGGAGCTCCATCAAGTTCACAATTGATTAATTTATTGTTTATTAAAAATTAGTTATTATTTAGTCTGTACTATCTTGCTCTATACATATCAAACTTCTTTCATTTACATAAAATCATTAGTTTTTATAAAAAAAACCATTTAAAATATTTTTTGAGAAAATCAGTCAATTTTTAATACTTTATTACCATTTATTGAAATACCATTATGTACAAAATCTCAAAGATTTAAGTAAATTCAAGTAAATTAAAAGTGTTTCAAAAATAATTTTAAAAATTTCATATTTTCAACTTAAAAACAAGTGTCCTTATCATCTTTATGGTGGATTTGTTCTTTCTCTCAGCAACTCCATTGCACTGCAGTATCCTGGCTGAAATCAAATCATGTTTTATTTCCTTTTGATTTAAACACACCTGGACTGTCTTCTCTCACAAACTCACCTCCATTTCTAAACATATATGTACCTTTCAACTTCTTGACATCTTCTTTTTCTTTCAATGTTACCAATATTTTTATTGCCTTAGCTGTCTGACCCTTTTCCTACAAAAGCAAAACAAATAATAACTCTCAAATAATCATCAATATATAAGATGTATCTTTTACCTTTTTTTGACATTGTTTTTATAGTTTCAAAGTTCTGTTGCATATTTCTACAGATATTTGTTTTAAAGCAACATTCACACTTTATGTTTATATATATATTTACCTTTCAAAACTATTACCAATTGTTCATTTTCCATCTCTTCAATGATTCTCATATTTGCACATCCATGCCATACATCCTTCTCTGTTAATATATATGCTACCCCTTTCCTGTTTCTTAATTTGACATAATATGCATTTACTCTTCTTGTTGCTTTCATTCAAATCACTCTCTTTTCTTCATATACTTGAGCTTCATCATTCTGAAATATAACACATTAGCGATGATCATTGACTTTGACCACTGATATTAATATTTATTTAGATCAGAAATCTATTTGTTATAAGAGGCTATCACCCAAATTAATTTTATTCCTTTTTGTCTGCCTAAGCCATTTCCATTTTCTCAATGTTTATTTGACCATCAAAGATTTCTATCTTGTATATAATATGGTTAGCTGACCTAGAATCCAATAGATATATTATAACTTACATATTTACATTGCTGCTTCAATTTCTTCTCGTTCTAAAATATAATTCTTGGCATCTCATGGCTCTATGCTGGTGATATTTCATGAGTCCAATATTTTTCTACTGTTGCACATGCCTATTTATTTTAACAGAATATTGCCCTTTCACAATCAAGCTTTGCCATCACTAATAAAAGGTAAAAAGTAATGGCTTATAACTTACACTATTTAATTACATTTGTTAATACAAAGACTTACATTTTTTTGCGTGATGCAGGCACACCTGCATGGACAATGCTTCGGGCGTTTGTTTCTAATTTTTTCTCATTTCCTATGCACTCTCCTGTTCACTTGGAGAATAATTAACAAATCACTTAATTTCTGTAATTAATTTATTAACTTTTATAATTGCATTGTAAAGGCTTATCTTTGCATATTTGTTGTCTGTCAGGTAAAGAAATGAATGCTGATTGTCTAATTATAACCACTGTTTGGGATGAATTTATTAAAGAATGTAGAAAACTTTATGGGATTCTTAAGTGAATATTTTCGTTTTCTTTCTGTATAAAACTGCTATAGAAAACTGTTCTCCGTCCATAATATTCTTATTATTTTGTAGTAAATATATACTTGCATAAGAAAGCGTAAAAAATAAATTTTTTTATTAAGAAATTTTATTTACAATTGTTTATTTACAATGTTTTCAAAAGCGAAAAATGAATACAAAATAAAAAATAGATTGCAGAAAAAAAATCAATTAGAGACGGGAGAATCGAACTCCGGAATCTGATTCATAGGAATTTTAGGGTGTCGCCACAACGCCACAACGCCAATTTAAAACCAGTGGAAATGAATATATAGAAATAGTAAAATTTTAATCGTAAATATCTCAAAAACTATTGAGTAGTGGCGGCTATAATGATATATATTCTTGAACTGCATGACGAAATTTATAAACCTGCAAATTTGCACTCTCCTTATAAGCTTTTAGATAGAAAAATGTCATATAAGAGATGTAGTAAAAACTGGCAACTTGCAGATTTGTCACGTACCAGATAGAGAAATGAATGCTGATTATCTAACTAAACCACTGAGTGGACCAAATTTGTAAAAGAATGTAAAAACTCTATGAGACTGTTAAATAAATACAAACACGGGAGGAGAAAGTGAAATATTTTTTATTTATGCGGCGAGTGAGTGAATGAGTGAGCGTGGTATGAATTAACATGGAATGAGTGACTTTATATTAACATATCCTTTTCTCAAAAATAAATGGTGTATGATATATTGTTTTTTTATTCTTCACAGTAAAATACAAAGTAAATAACGAAACAACAAAGCCGAACTTACTGGCGGCATCCTGTAATAAACAAAGGCATATTTCATTTGGACCGAAAACAGAGGAATGAAACTAGAGACACGTTCTTAAAATTATAGTGTTAATCAAAGAGTTTTCGAATTTTTATACTACTACTAGAACCCTATAAATCATTCATTTCGTGAAAGAGGGGAAATAAGAAGTAAATGTGAAAAGTTTTCGTTCCAAATGAGACATGATATGTTAAGTAGTAGAAAACAATACACAAGAAATTTAAAGGAAATTAACCTAGAATAAATTGAATTATAGAACACACGTATCCCACGATGTCCAACATTGTTCTGCCACGGCTCATAATGTCCAAGAATGTCCGGCGATGTCCCACGTTGCTCCATGCGAGGGGACAAATAAAGTGGTATTCGTAGTTTCAATCTAGCCTCCATGGTATCAGAAGGTGTTCTTTCAGAGGCCAGATTGGACTGCAAGTACTGCGTAGCTCTTAGCTTGGCATCGTTTGTCAAAGATGAACTATCTCGAAAATTACTAGATGAAATTTATTCAGATGTATGTGGAAACACATCTTTGACAAACGATGCCAATTACCAGGTCTCACCACGTGGAGGTGGCTACGCAATCGAGACCCATGCCTAAATACCCTAGTCAAATATAGTACAAAACATGGTACAAAACATAGTAGAATATATAATACAAAGTAAATCACAAAATGAATTTCAAAATGATTACGAAATGCAATGCAGGATAAAATACAAAATTTGTTACAAATAAATTACAATGCAAATTACAAAATATAGTATTCACATCTGCAACAAAGGAAGAGCAATTAAGAATGATTCGGAAACAAAAGTTGAGAGGAAGAATTGGTAGTTGTATTGGATTATTGTGATATTAAATAATAAACAATTTTTTAAATACGCGAGCTGTTACTTGTGGCGCTTCAAAAGTCGCAACAATAGTGGAAAGAAGCACACGAGTAGCCATATAGAGTACTATATATTTTATGACTCTGGTTTATTCAATTTTATATGAAAATAGGATAAACTTTTAATTCCCGATCGCGATATGTCGAATTTTAAGGGATTTCGTCTAACCCTCGATTAGAATAAAAATTTCTATTTAGAATAAAAATTAGAAATTTTTTCAACTGAGATTCTAATACATGATGTACAAAAAAAGCCCTAGCGTGATTCAACAAATATATCACAGAAATATGTATCGCACGAGTACTATGATACATTAGTACATTGGTACTCGTGATCACTATTCTTGATACGAAAATAAAATACAACCAGTCACCCATACCGTTTTGGACCATTCGTCTTACGATATGATGGGTAACCAGAGGAATTGTAAACATGCGACTCACCGGTCGTTGCTCTCTTCTCCGTATTACAGCAGCTGTGGATTGACTACCGCCTTCGTCCTGGCACCAGCTTTGTGTCACTGTGTCCTTCCCTTGCCACGTCTTCAATATAGTGATGTCAAATATTGGTTGTAATTCCTTCTTCTTTTCTTGGAACACTTTCACAACGCACTCGCGATATCGCGGACACGTACGAACTTACTTCGACCGACACGAGTAAAAAAAATCGCGCGTAAAATCGTTCGAACGTATACGATTTAGTAGAATTAGGGTAATAATTTAGTTGTTATAAAAATATTTAATGTCCACGAACACTAATGAAATTAAAAAAATATTATAAATTAAATTAATTATTAAAAGTGAATAATAAATAAATAAATTATATAAATTGTTAAAAGTTAAAAATAAATTAATTAATTAAATAAATTGTTAAAAGTTAAATATAAATAAATAAATTAAGTAAATTATTATAAGTGAGAAATAGATAAATATGTTAATTTAGGCGGTTGAAGTTTAGATGTACGCGTTATGACGGCCGAGGAGCAACTGACGTGACCTGTGATCGTCAAATGCCTATATGAATCAAGGATATCCTAGTCGAGGTCAAACAAACATTGACGAGATCAACCGATTTTCCAAAGATTCGCGAACCTTTTATAAAAGTTATTACACAGTTTATTGTCGATATATGCTTCGTATAATTTGCAATAACAATATGAACAGTAATTTACATATGTACAATTATTTTTTCATATAGAAAAGTCATTTACTACTGTGTAATAATATTTTTTAACATACATGTGTTTAAAACAATTTTTTAAAGTTAAAAAAAAGAGAACAGTAGTTAAAATATGATATTAACTATCGATAATCCATCCTAAAATAAGCTAAAATTTGTGGTTTTAACAAATTTTACGAATTTACATAATTTACATATACATATTATTTTTGTGAATATTGTTATTACCTTTATTCGCAAATGCATCGGAGTGTATTTACATTCTGCCGGCTAACTATCTGACAAAATATTATCTCACGTGTTGTGTATATCTTTTTGAAGTAAATTAATAAATCAACGATAAATGAAATGCAATTTTTGTACTCCCCTTTTTATAAACGTTAATATAGAAATTTTATGCGTTTTAAATGAACCACGTTTTCCGACATGTTTATCATTCATTTAATGCGACATCTGTTGACTATGCATCGTGAAAATCAGTGACGATGCCGCAATGGCGGGTTCCATAGAGATTCCACTTCGTGATACAGACGAGGTGAATATTTTTGTTTTTAATCTCCAGTTTTATCATTTGCGAAATATTGGAAGTAAACTAAACAATTCCTATTCTTCATCCGTTAAATGCAACTTGAAATTCTTTAGACTCGTGATATGGAGACGTTTTCGTGTACCTAACCTGTACAAGAGATGTTTGTGAAATAAATCGTATACAATAGCCTATAGGTGTAGACACGATGTTTCTCAAATATGTTAAAATTTGTTCTGTAATATGAAATATAAATTGCTGTTGTTTCATTTGTTTTGATCATACAATTTTCAACCGATTTAATGACCTTATTTTGTTCATATTGTTTCCAGTATGTTACCTATTTGTATCATGTATGATACAAATAACATGTAATGTTGAACTTTAGCCATTTGTTAATTGAAATTTTTCAATAAATTGACTTTTTTATCCACTTTTTGTCTATTTAAATATGCCTTGCCATATCACTGACTAATCACTTTCATTTTTTAAATTACATTCTATTAGGTAATTGAGCTATACCTTGATCAGTTACCAGAAGGTGATGAAGTTCTTGGAATCTTACGCCAAGAACATGCACAACTTAATATTTGGGTCAATTTGGCCGTATGTATCTCAAAGTATAACAAATATAATAGAAAAATGACAAAAATTAAAATGTGTTGCTTTCATTGCAGCTTGAATATTATAAGCAACACAAAATTGAAGATTTTATTAAAATACTTGAATCTTCTCGGATTGATGCTAATATTGATTACCGTGACTATGAAAAAGATCAAATGCGTGCATTGGATATGCTGGCTGCATATTACGTGCAGGAAGCTAACAGGGAGAAAAATAAAGATAAGAAAAGAGATCTATTTACAAAAGCTACACTATTGTATACAACTGCAGATAAGATTATTATGTATGACCAGGTATATTTCATTTACAATAATTCCTTTGATGCTTTGATTCATTCAACACCAAACAGTTACCATATTTTCTGTATTATAGAATCATTTACTTGGCAGAGCTTATTTTTGCCTTTTGGAGGGAGATAAAATGGATCAAGCTGATGCCCAATTTAATTTTGTATTGAACCAATCTCCAAATAATATTCCTTCTTTACTTGGTAAAGCATGTATTGCATTTAACAAAAAAGATTATAGAGGTGCACTTGCCTTTTACAAGAAAGCACTGAGAACAAATCCAAACTGTCCAGCTGCAGTAAGACTTGGAATGGGACATTGTTTTATGAAATTGAATAATCAGGAGAAAGCGCGTTTAGCGTTTGAAAGAGCTTTGCAGTTAGATGGCCAATGCGTTGGAGCATTAGTTGGTCTTTCAGTTTTGAAACTAAATCAACAACAGCCAGATAGTATCAGAACTGGTGTACAAATGTTATCTAAAGCTTACACGATTGATTCGACAAATCCTATGGTGTTAAATCATTTGGCAAATCATTTTTTCTTTAAAAAAGACTACAATAAAGTACAACACTTAGCACTTCATGCATTTCACAATACTGAGAATGAGGCTATGCGAGCAGAGAGTTGTTATCAATTAGCTAGGGCATTTCATGTTCAAGTAAGTGATTTCCTAGAACTTGAATATTTCCAAGGATTTAATAAATGATTAAATTGTTTCAGGGTGATTATGATCAAGCATTTCAATATTATTATCAGGCAACACAATTCGCACCACCAGTTTTTGTATTGCCTCATTTTGGCTTAGGTCAAATGTATGTTTATCGTGGAGATGCAGAAAATGTAAGCATAACTTATTATATCATGTAACAAATTAACAATAATAGATTTTAAACGAATAGTTCCTCAATTACAGGCAGCACAATGTTTTGAGAAAGTATTAAAAGCTCAACCAGGAAATTATGAGACAATGAAAATTCTCGGATCATTGTACGCGAACTCGAGTTCTCAGTCGAAACGTGATATCGCGAAAAACCATCTTCGGAAAGTAACTGAACAATTTCCCGATGATGTTGAAGCATGGATCGAGTTGGCTCAAATATTGGAACAAAGTGACCTTAACGCAGCCTTAAACGCATATGGTACTGCAACCAGGATTCTAAAAGAAAAAGTTCAGGCGGATATACCGCCTGAAATTTTAAACAATGTTGGAGCTTTACATTATAGGCATGTTCTATATTTTTTTTCTTAAATTTACTAATTATTCTATTATAAGAATAATATTTGTTCCCTTAATATAGACTTGGAAATTTAGAAGAAGCTAGAAAAAATTTGGAAGAATCTTTGGCTCGTTCTAAAGCAGATGCCTTACATGATTCTGTATACTATAATTCAATTGCAGTTACGACGACATATAATTTAGCTCGTTTGAATGAAGCTTTATGTATATTTGATAAAGCAGAAAAATTGTACAAAGACATTTTAAAGGAACATCCAAATTATGTAGATTGTTATTTACGACTTGGTTGCATGGCCAGAGATAAAGGACAAATTTACGAAGCGTCTGATTGGTTTAAAGATGCTTTGAGAATAAATAATGAGCATCCAGATGCATGGTCTCTTTTGGGTAATTTACATTTGGCCAAAATGGAATGGGGTCCTGGTCAAAAGAAATTCGAAAGAATTCTAAAGAATCCAACAACAAGTACTGACGCGTACTCTTTGATTGCTTTGGGCAACATTTGGTTGCAAACTTTGCATCAAAGTGGAAAAGATAAAGATCGGGAAAAGCGGCATCAAGATAGAGCGTTAGCGATGTATAAACAGGTATGATAATAAAAAACAATTGTCCTTTATGCTCGTATACACACGTTCGAATTTTTAGGTTTTACGAAATGATCCCAAAAATATTTGGGCCGCAAACGGAATTGGAGCTGTGTTAGCACATAAAGGTTGTGTAAATGAAGCAAGAGATATTTTTGCTCAAGTCCGAGAAGCAACGGCAGAATTTTGTGATGTTTGGTTAAATATTGCACATATTTATGTAGAACAGAAACAATTTGTTAGTGCTATTCAAATGGTAATTTTTTATTTCGTATTTAATATAATATATATATAATATAATATATAATATTTTTATATAATCGTTTTTACAGTACGAAAATTGTCTGCGGAAATTCTATAAATATCATCATGTTGAAGTCTTACAATATCTAGGAAGAGCTTACTTTAAGGCTGGTAAATTAAAAGAAGCAAAATTAACATTACTGAAGGTGTGTTGGAAACATTATTTATTTTAATGTCATTAATACTACTAGGAAGAGAAACTAATAAATATTATGAAATTTAGGCAAGAAGAGTAGCTCCACAGGACACTGTTTTATTGTATAATATTGCGCTTGTCCTGCAACGTTTAGCAACTCAAATTTTAAAGGATGAAAAGTCGACCTTGACAACAGTACTACAAGCAGTTCATGAATTGGGACTTTCACATAAGTATTTTCAATATTTGTCAACACATGGAGACAGAATGGAACAACTTGCAGAGGCAGAAGCAAGAAGATGTCAAGATTTGTTATCGCAAGCACAATACCATGTTGCTCGTGCTAGACGATTGGATGAAGAAGAAAAAATGCTCAGGAGAAAACAAGAGGAGGAAAGGTAAGCAAAGAAAAGGAAATAATATATAGAATTTATCAAGTATTATAATAACAATGGTGTATTAATTTATAGACAAGCATTTAAAATGCGGCAAACTGAAGAGCAACGCAAACTGGAAGAAATGCGACGTCAAAAAGAAGAAGAAATGTTACAAAAACGACAAGAATACGTTGAGAAAACAAAGAATGCTTTGGTATTTGGCGAAATGCCTTCAGAAAAACCTGGCAGATGGGAAAGAGAGTACGCACTGATCAATATATTAGTGACAGTGGTGGTTCCGGAAGGGAGGAAGGTAGAGAAGAAGCTCCAAGAGAAAAGAAACGTAAAAGAAAAGCAAGTGGTGAACGTAAAGAGAAGAAAGGCAAGGGTAAAGGAAGACGCAAAAAGGAAACAGCGAGTGGAGAAAGTGGTAAGCACTTAAAAATGTTTAACTGATGATAAACAGTACCTATTACTCAAATTTTCTTTTTGATGTTAAGGTTCAGAAAGCGATCGACCTAAACCAAAACGTGGAAGAAAAGGTGGAGTTACCAAGAAAGATAAAGGATTCCGGAAAAGTACATCTGAGACTTCAAAGGGCAAAATGCCCTTATCGAAAGAGACTATATCAACAAGTGAATCTGATAGTGATTCGGGAGGTCTTAAGATTGCTAGCGGGTAAGGATCGGTGGTTACAATATATTAGAATATATAAATTAATACACAAATTATACACAAATAATACACAAATTTATGTCATCAATTTCTTTTTCAGGGGTGAAAGCGGTAATGAAGGGCGTGCCCGTGGAAGCAGACGAATTGTGTCTGATTCCGAAGGTTCTCGTGCATCGCGTTCTAAATCTCGTTCCAGATCAAAGTCCAGAAGTCGATCTAGAAGTAGTTCACGATCACGATCACGATCACGATCGCGTTCACATTCACGTTCGCGTTCGCGTTCACGTTCGCATTCACGTTCGCGTTCACATTCGCGTTCACGTTCGAGGTCACAGTCTCGATCTCAATCTCGATCCGTATCTCGTTCACGATCCCGGTCTCGTTCAGGTTCGAAATCAAGAAGTCCATCGCGATCAAAAAGCCCGTCGAGATCAAGATCCGGATCAGCGAAGAGCGGATCGCGTTCGAGATCAGGTTCTAGATCTAGATCTAGATCAGGATCACGAAAGAGTCAATCGCGATCAAGATCGCGTAGTGGTTCAAGGAAAAGTGGATCACAACCAAGATCAAGGTCAGGTTCTGCAGCTAGTGCAGGCTCAAGATCAAGGTCAGGATCGAGAAGTGGATCGCAATCAGACGGACGAAGTCGTAGTCCAAGTGGATCGGCAAGGTAAATTATATCAAAATGGACAAATAGTGGTGCAGAATGTCGATAGCATTCGCCCATAAATTTTGATTACTTTGTTCCAGATCTGCAACTCCAGAGTCCAGGAAATCGGTTTCAGGCAGTGACGTTGATTCCCGCCATTCAAGCCCAGATCGAGGTGGTGGCAGCGAAAGTGATTTGACTTTCAAAAAAAGACCAGTAGCGGTATACGCTGAAAATTCACATTAACTGTCGATTACTTACTTCTTGTAAGAATCAAATTTACATATGAACTATATAACTTTTGCGACATATCTGTTAACGCACGATTTAAAGAACAATTCGAAACGAGAAAGAACCGTTATACCAAGAAACTACGCGAACTGCCGGCCATTCGAAACTGCGTATAAATTGCGAGATAATCGAAGCGCAGTTTCGAGATGACTGCACAACTTCAGATCGATTGATTTCGGATATAGTTGCGCATCAGTTGAATTCTTCTTTTGTATTCACTATTCACGACTACTTATCTCAATATTGCTTGGTTCATGTTTTAATGATTAGATGTCAAACCAGTGTGTTATGTTCTTCAAATCGTATTTAAAAAGAAGTATTACTTCATGATGTAAGGTAATTGTAATTTTACGTAAAGTTACTACGATTTCATATTTAGATTAGTTCACTATGTAAACAAACGTTTGGCTTCTTCATTAGTTGTCTGTTGATACTTTGTATAATAAACAGATAGTTTTAATTAATATTATATATTGAAATTATTCAGTGAAGGAAAGGATGATGTAGTGAATCATTTTTTTCTATTATGTTAGTTGATATAATGCAAAAAAAAAAGAAATATATATATATTAGTGTTGTTTTAACAACGAACGAATTGTTTTATATCAAGAACTATAAATAAAAAATTATTGAATTCGATGTCTCCACTTCCTTTAATTTATCCATATTATACAAGAAGACTATTTTACGTATACACGACAAAAGTTTATTTTATATTGTACGTTTAAAAGAAGTTTGTTAGAGGTTAGTGACATCGCTAATGTCACTGCGTATACCATTTGTTTACATGCATTTACATAAATTTTTATTTCAATTCTTTAATGTTTATACAATAAGCAATATATGTTCATACATGTATAAATAAACATTTATATATATTTAATGAAATATATTTTACAGGATAGATTTACCGAATACACATGAAGCGATTTAACGGCATACGTATTTATACAGATGGAATGCCTACTGCGTAAATAGTGTTCTAAAAAAATTTTTCTTTGTTTACAAAATGTTACGTAAGGCTCAATTATTTTCTCATTCTCGTACAACCTTCCCGTCGATCTTTCCCAGCCAATTTCACGAGGTATTTATTGAATATTTCGATATCGTTTTTTTTCAAACTATATTAAAAATCTAAACTAACATTATTGGTGCACTCAAATGTTTATTATTCTCACAGAAACGTTATCGATTTGCAATCTATAGTTAGAAGACGAGCAAAAAGATGACAACGGGATATACAGTAACCTTCCATGTGATGGGATAAGAATAACATTAGACTATAGATAGAACTGCAATAATTTAAAATGGAATCTCGATTAAGTATTCTCGTCCCCCATTTGAGGAACTACGATGGAGAAACAAACAAGTAAATTTATTTAATTCAATTAACGCTATAATATCTGTACAATTAGCCGTCGGTCGATTCCTATCGCTCAATGATAAAGTATCACTGAAACGGTGTTTCGTTTAATACCCTAAACGTTGTTATATAGCTCGCTAGCAGAACTATAGCGACTACAAAATTGGTACGGTGCAAAACCACCTTGGATGTCGCTAGAACTTATCACCCTATTATAGCATTTAAGCGTCTGACTATACATAATCCATAAAGCACACGTTTTATACACACATGAACAGGGAAAATCCTGCAGTAGCTCACGCAAAAGGCAAAGGAGTAAAGAGTAATGACAAAGGAATATCGGTTTTATCCAAGCTACGAAGATTCTGAGTGCTAGCAACGTTTACTCTTTCCATTCGACTCCTGAGAGTGTGGATTTATTCCACTCTTCTTCCTGTTTGACTATCAAACTCCCATCTGTCGTCGCATTTCTCGTTAAACATTTTCACGTAAAATCGTTGAAAAGAGCTTCGATTGTAATTTTTGTTCTCCGCCAAGACGACCCTGATGTATCGGAAGAAATGGAAGTTTTAATTAGCCCTCGTCAATTTTCACGCGGCAACTTATAACGTATAGCGGATATTCCAGAATTATTCGCTTCCTTGGCAAGTTTCGAACTTTCGGAAGAGAATTATTTACAATCTCTCGAGTACCTTGAAACTGGCTAATAGAATAGTCTCGCGACTGCGAGTTTTGATTGGCCCTCTATTTGCATATTCGTCATCCTACCTGCTGATAAGGTTCTCTGGAACTCTTACGACTGAAAAACGTGTTTCCCAGATTACTTTCTATTTAATACGAATTTATTCATTGTCCTAAAATCTGCTATACCTTTTATTATGATTTCTGCGATAATTTCACATTCGAAAACGATTCTTCTCTTATGCAGACACGTTGCTCCAATATAAATTTTACATCGACGGTTTTGTCGCACAACGAATTGCCCTTAATCCGGATTACATAAATCTTTTCCGTCAATCACAAACCCGACAATTCATCAAACACTTGCTCAAGGATTATCGATAATCCTTGTGTTCACGCCGCAACTTTTTAATTTCCTTTTCCCTCGGCAAATATAATTAAACTTTGTTTTTTCTCAGAACCTTCTCTCGACTAGTAGGAAACACGACTGGTACGCGTACGCCCGTATACACATACATACATGTACACGATAACAATGAGTTCGCAAAATCCAAGGAACTCGAACGTACCTTCTGCAACTTCCAAGCCCGCGTTCGACCTCGTTTTAAGAAAATGCGGAATGCAATATTTCTTCCCTTAACAGAGAAATCGAGCGCTATGGAGGCGTCAGTGACCCACTTACAAATCGAAGAATCTTGAAATATGTGCGTCTTTCACGATGATCCCTCGTATCGGCATTGCATCCTGTGGCGTAATATATCAGCATGCAGTTCGCAACTTTCATTTTCCCTTTTTCTTTCTCCCTTTGCGACAAAATCCTGAATGCACCGCCGGGAAGTGCAGGCGAAAACTGCTGAAAATTTGACGACTGCGTTCGTGAAAGAGTCAACGGCGGGAGCTTCCGGTCCCTCGAGTTTAATTAGTTCTGTAAACCGAGCGTCCGCGAGACCTAGCGCAGGTACAGGTGTGCCGAAAGCTCAGCCGGTTCGTGTGTCATTGTTTCGAAAGTTGAATAACGATGCAGTGTTTGGGTTCCCTCGGCTTGTTTCTACCTTTCGCAGTCGGTTGCTGGCCTTGGGACGGGAATTAATACGACGCGACCGATATTAAATCGCCCTTTGCCACGGATCACAAAGGTGTCGAGCGCGATCGATGTTGCACTTTGTGTACGAATGGAATATGAAAATCCGAGCGTGGGAAAATGGATGGTTCCCGGATCGAATCTCGGTGAACGTGCAAAGAGAAGAGACGAGGACCATCGAGCAAACTGTTCTCCAGCGTGTTCTCCGCGGAAGAGAGAATCGCCGTCTCGTTCATAATTTCAAGCGACGGGATCTTGCTTCGAGGCAAGCTCGTAGAAAAGTTCGAGATTAAAAGTAGCCGAGTGATATCCTTTTTGTCTGGGAAGCGAGTCGAAGTTGGACGCAATATGAATTTAATTGTACGGGAATCGTAGCCAGGATCAAGAACGATACCGTGGAAGCAATAAAACTTAAATTGAATCTCCGAGAGTATTAATGGCGAAACAACAATCGGGATTCTGTTTGTCCCGAAGGCCAAGGAGCACTTCTTATTGCGACGTCTTTTCTCGACATTCACGGGCAAATCGGGGGTACAAGATCGACCTCCCGCTTCCGGCTGCGACTCGGAATCAATTATAACGTTATGCTCTTGCTTTTCCTTTCCGGCAACGATAACCTTGGATTTATCTCTCGCGTCGTTATTCAATGAACTTCTAATTATTAATACCGGTCTCGCAGTTGCGTTGCCTACTTCAAACCTGCAACTCGCGCTTTCCCAAAGTTGCTCGGCGAACTGTGATTTGCGAAACGTTTAATTGCCATCTAAGCGAACGTTTCATTTGCCAAATAAATCCCTGTAGTCTGGTTTATATCGCGGAATGTTCCCACGTCTGGAAATTTGCACGAGTGAAAACTCTGTGGTATACCAACGAGCTGATTTTAACTTTCTGAAAAGGATGAAATTAATTCGGCATGAGGTACCCACGAATTTCAGCCGCTCGCGAAAAATGTTGAAGTAATTACCTCGAATCCAGAGATCAGATTTTATTCGGTTTTATTCGTTATTCGGGTCGCGAGCATTCTCGTGTCGCTCCTTACGGCTACGTAATCGTTTGCATTATTCGTTCACAAAAGGATGAATGTAATCCGCAAGAGGAATGAACGGACTTGTCAGTTACGTGTCAACTACAAGAGTACACCGTATCGTGCAAGGTTGCAATTATAAGTTGGTATACAAACCAGTTGGCTGTCTCCTTCGCGTAATCCTTGTTGGACACGTGTACATACAACAGAGGAGACTGTGTACAGAAATCCAGACGGCGAGACGTCGAGCTTTACGTAGCTGATACCATTTACCTGCAAGCGTTTCCGATTATGTGACTGTCCATTTACCCGAGACCCTTTTGTTGATAAGGCTTCGCTTGAAAAGAGGCAAACGCTTTAATGCGTCCCCATAGCAACGATGGATGTAACTGCGACGAAATAATTTTTAACGAAACGCAATCCTCATAGAAAATGGCCAACGCTGTCGAATCTGTGCGCCGCTCGCAGTAGTACAGCCCATTATTGATCAGCCGGCGTCAAAGGGAAGTAGTAGGACCGCTTAATTCAATTTGAATGTTTTACGCGAATTGTTTTCAACTAATCCGACCTCTGTTCAAACGATCCTAGCTGTTTCCAGTTTGATCAATTGCTTTTCTACTTAACGATAGGACAACTGAGATACAGGGGCTTTGTAACTGTTCCACGAATTTTGTTCATTTTTTGGGGGGGAATATTGCAACTATTTTTCTTTTTCTTAAAATATTATATTATCAAAGATCACGAATATCGGGGGAAGAAATGTATTTCGCTTTGTATAATACAAAAGGAAAAAAGAAATTAGTGAAATTAGTGAAATTAATTAGAGAATTAATTTAACTAAGTATAGCCAAGGTGCATGTAAATAATTATATTTATTGCGACCAATCAAATAGAACCGATAAAGGATATTTCAAAAGCTATTGGAGTCGCAAAGGAAACAAGTACTTTCGCTAATTTCAATAGTTCCGTTAACTGCTATAGAAAATGTGGGTTCTTTGAAACCGGTTTCGAGAATCGGAATCGATATCATAACAATCCTCTATCCTTGATTAGAACATGAATATCGCTATTCAA